AAGGAAGGAAGAAAGAAAGAAAGAAAGGAAGGAAGGAAGGAAGAGAGAGAGAGGAAGGAAGAGAGAGAGGAAGAAAGGAAGAAAGAGAAAAAGGAAGGAAGAGAGAGAAAGGAAGAGAGAGGAAGAAAAGAGAGGGAGAGAAAGAAAGAAAGAGAGAGAGAGGGAGAGAAAGAAAGAGAGGAAGGAAGATAGGAAAGAAGGAAGGAAGGAAGGGAGGAAGAAAAACAGATTCAAAGAAACCCCAAGCCAACTCCAAGGCCACACACATCACACAGTTGACAAATTCTGCCAGAGAAGTTCACCAGAGCAGATCATAATGATGAGAGTTTGTGGCTTCTGTTAGGAATCTGACACCTAACTCTTATAACTCCACTAAAAAAAAGTAGAAATATATGACGTAAGTTGTATAGGAGGGATGTGTTAGTCTGAATAAATTACCAGTTTTCCTTGGAATCTGAGCTAAAAGTAAGGCTTAATGGTATTATTAATAAAAAGACTTTCTTGAGAAAGAAAAGTACCATACCATATGATATCATATGATACGTGGAATCTGAAAAAAAGACGAACTTATTTACAAAACAGAAACGGACTCACAAACATAGAAAACAAACTTATGGTTACCAGGGGAGGAAGGTGATGAGAAGGGACAAATTAGGAGTTTGAGATTTGCAGATACTAACTAATATATATAAAATAGATAAACAAGAAGTTTATACTGTATAGCAGAGGGAATTATATTCAATATCTTGTAGAAACTTATGGTGAAAAAGAATATGAAAATGAATATATCTATGTTCACATATGACTAAAGCATTATGCTGTACACCAGAAATTGACACAAAATTGTAAACTGACTATACATCTATAAAATATATATACACCAAAAACATGAGACTTTCTTATATTTCCTAGACTCTGAGTCTGGTGTCCTTCCCACCAAGTCACAGTAGAACAACTGGAAGACACTCATGACCTCCGTGACTTCTTCAAGGACTCTGGGACATTTCAGTCTGTCCCAGGAACCTCAAATCCTGCAACTCTTCCCCACTTCCTGCAACTCTCCCCCACCTCCCTGTCCTCACAATCTGTATTCTTTCTGCACTTGGATACAACCAAGATTACTGCAATAGAAATCATACAATAGGAGAGAATAATTATGTTCAACTTGGAATATAGTAAAGTCAGCAGAGCAAGGAAGTTGGTGGATTGAAAATTGCTACAAGGGGTCTTCAAGGGTAGTTGGGATTCTTGTTTAACTGGCCTAACAGGATTCTTGCTAAACAAAGGCAAACCAAGGACTTAGACATTAATGGTGGAAGATAAAAAACTTGATCAGATCAAGGATTGGGGGATGACTCAGCAGGATTCTTTTGCTAAGACTAACTTAGGGCCTAAGGACAAGACTTAGTAGAAAAGAGGGCTCAGAGAAGCCTGCCTAAAGTTTGGTCAAGAAGAATCTTTGTCAGGACTTGTGGAGCTGGGGGCCTCCATCAGGGCTCTTTTGTCCTTCCAATACAAACTGAACTCCTAGGCCCACTCTGGTCCATCACAAAGGATGGACTCTACTTCATTAAGATAGATTTCAGCTTTGAAATTAGTAACAAGAGAAGCTGAGACCTGAATCTACAAGAAATGTGAACTAAAGAATCAAGTACCCAGAATTCTAGGCAAGTTGAAATTCACCCAACACCCTTTTCTCCCAGGGAAAGCCATCAACATGAAGAAAATCTAAATCCCTAATGGAAATAAATATCTAAAGATAAACTATATGGAATCTTGAGACCCAGACTTGGGGCAACAAGGAGGAAGGAGTGTCATTGGTCTGGCTCTCCACTAGTTCTTATAATGCAGCATACCAGAAATGGAAAAGCAAAAGACAGCAATGGAACCAGAGGATACAGCACCTAGCATGATGCTTGGCACAATGAAATTGCTTAATTAGTATTTACTGAATAAATAAACTCAAAAGTCCCTTTCTAGCTCTCAAATGCTACTCTATTAAGATGAAGGAGCTGACACATGCCATAACACGGGTGAATCTTGAAAACATTATGCTAAGTGAAATAAGCCAGTCATAAAAGGACAAATACTGAATGATTCCATTTACACGAGATACTTAGAATAGGCAAATTCATAGAGACAAAAGTAGAACAAAGATTACCAGGGGCTGGAGAGAGGGAGAACAGGGAGTTATTGCTTAATGGGTACAGAGTTCAGTTTGGATGATGGAAAATTTCTGGAGATGGATACTGGAAATGATTGCACAACACTGTGAATGTACACTCAAAATGGTTAAAATGTAAACTTCATGATATGTGTATTTTACCACGATTTTTTTTTTATTTTTAAAGGATGTTGGGAGCATTTTGCTCAGAATGGGATTTAAGAAAAAAGAAAAAGATAAAGGGGTACATCTCAGTGATCTACTGTGTTTTAGGGCAACATAAATCAAAGAAATAATGCTCCTAGATTAGGATTAGAAAAAGGAATGAGGCCAACCCAACTTTGCTTCAAACCAAAGAGCTTTTAATGTTATTTATTTTCCAGATCCCTAGTAAGGATGGTCTTGAATATGCTCCATGATTGTCTTCAAGCCAAGCCAGGTCCCTTTTGCTGTGGGCAAGGTCTGATTGGCCAGCAGGAGGAAGCCATATAGACCTGTATTTCTCAGTGCAAAGACAAACGAGTATTTGATGCCAGAGTCATTGAACCAGTCGATGCTTCCTCCACTGCCTTGGTCTGAAGGGCAAATGAAGATAAAATCCGGTTATGCTATTCCTACTGGCCTCTCATAGCTATGTAACCTCTATTAAGTTCCACCATTATCTAAAATAAGTCAGGCCCCTATCTGCATGGACCTGAGCACAGGAATAGCTTGGTAGAGGGCCGTGCTTATGAAAAACTACAAGATTAATTTGAAAAGCAAAAGGTGTTATTCAAATAGAGACTATACTTAGCCTTCCCTTGGTGTTCTTAGGAGCCTCTGGCTTCACCCACCCATTTGGAATCCTGTCTGCTCTCCTAATTGGCATCTTCTACACCTTAGGGAGGCCACACCACTTCCTTCTTTAGTTGAGTGCTGGGTATAGACACCGTTTTCTCTAGTGGGAGAGGATGGATTACAAATAGAAGAGAGTTTGTCCCTACTCTCAGGGGACTTTTAACATAAGCGTGGAGCAGGCTTTGTTCTTATATCGAATAACATGCCCAGCACCTATACATAATGGATTAAACAGAGTAATGTGCACCTGTGTAATGTGTGGCCACTGACATGACAGATGATAAAAGAAGGTAGTATTAGCCTAAAGGACTTGTGGCAATCATGACTCAGAAGAGCTGAGCAATGGACCATCTCTGAGGCCGCTCCCAGGGAGGGCAGGTAGAGGCCAAATGGACGAGGTGGATGGGGCAGAGATGGAGGAAGTCACCTAGTCCCAAATAATGGAGCTGAGCAAAGGGGAAGACAGGCAGGTTGTACCAGGGAAAAGTAGGACTAATGGTTAATACTGGGAATTAACAATAAGAATTCTTGTGTCTGTGTCTTTGCTTTCACCCACAGGAGCACTGGTAGCACCTGGTAAACCAAATGGTTGATGACTTGAACTGAATCTTCCTGGGTACCAAAATTACTAACCTATACCTCTGGTGCGGCTACACGACACAGAGGATCCCACTAAGAGGTCGACAGTGAACCAAATACTGGCTTCAGATTGAATCCTGATTCTGCAAATCATTAGTGTCCTAAGGCAGTCACTTACCTGAGTCCCAGATGCTTCTTCCATCAAACAGGGATAATAATATTACTTATTTCACAGGGCAGTGAGAATTAGATGGGATAATATAATGTTTATGATTCTGCCCCTTGTTGAGTGCTTCTGCTAAATATGTTAGACATTATGCTAAAATTGGATCATTTAATCCCCACCTGGGTCACGAGATAGATTCCAGTATTATTCTTATTTTACAGATGAGGAAACTGAGAGACTAAGTGAAGGAGCTAGACATTACTCTAATGTCTGTAGAGTAAGCATTCAGTAAATGTCGGTTATGATTATAATCATCATTATGAATAAATGACTGAAAAAGTTGGGCCACATTAAGGATCAGAGGTATCTGGAGGAGAGTAGCTCACCAGGAATCTAATGAGAAACATTTATATAGTGCCTTAGAGTTAGAAAAACTCTTTTACTCTATATTCTATCTTTAGAGCCTCTCAACAATCCATTTCACAAGTGAAGAAACCAAGGGAAGATGAGTAACCTACCCAAGGTTACTTGGTTCCAAAGTGACAGAGCTGTAACTCAAACCCAGACTTCTCACCCAGGTCTGTGTTTTTCCCCCCACACCTCTCTGAGAAAGAACTCACATAACAATTTTTCTTGGACCAAACACCTGCTGTGGTGCAGCTCCTCATAGCCCTTACTAAATAAGAAACTTCCCAGAAATGTCTCATCCACCACAGAAGTTCAGTCACCTCTTGAGGAGTGAAGCAAATATTTAGCCCAGAGCTGCATACCAATCCAGGGCAGGAAGCAAAACGTCCTTGTTCTTTGCAGTGCTTGTCTAAGCTGGAATGAGGCCAGGATTAAGGATAACTGATCAGCTGTGGACAGAAATGCAGCCACGACCTGCCTGGCCATTAAAGGGCAGGTTACAAAAGATCAGACAGCAAACCCTATACTTAACCTGACATTTGCTTAATAGAACTATCTTGAACATCTATGACTTTACCAAGAAAAACATACTAAATGTCAGCCTTTTGAGGTCTACTTTACTTGTGAATACCTCAGACAAGAGAAGTGGAGAACTAGATTTCTTGTAATAAAATGGCTGAGTGTGGGTCTCAAGGGCAAGTGATATCATTCTGCTGACATTCTGAACTCTAGCCTCCATTCATAGGTGGCCAACCAGAGAAAACATGTATTTCCCAGCCTCAAGTGACTATCATGGCCTTCCTCCCCACTGCCATCACTCAGAGGGCCCTTCTCCTGGAGGTCCTCCCACCAAAAGGGAAGACAATCTCACGTGGAACACAGTTTAAAAGGTATGGACAATTGTAAGCAGATCTTCCCAGAAAATAGCCTAAAAATTTTGTAGCAAGAGCTCCAAAGCTGTTCACTACCTTTGACTTGAGAATCATCTAAAAGAAAAAGGAGACTATATCAATGTGTTCATAGTAGCACTATTTAGCAAAAAGTCGAAATAATCCAAAGGCCCTGTAACTGGGATATAGCCATATCATGGAATAACAAATACCTAGAGTGGAAATACATAAAACTATACAGGAAATGATGTTAAACAAAAAAGGCTGGACACAAAATAGAACACAGACATTGACAACAACTAGATAAATGCATTGCTGTAAATATATTGCTGTTTAATGAAGTTGAAACTGACAATAAAGTGTGATTATTACTAGATTGTTTTTTCTATGAAGTTTTCAAATCCATCGTAATAGCAAGAAAGAGAGAGAGAGTGAAAACCATAACCTCAAAGAAAAAGAAACTTTCATGGTCTGAAATATTACCAAATCAGTAGTTTTGGGGTTTCCATTAGGTGTTTTAGATGTGGTGAGTAAACGATTACTCCTCTGCTCTCCAAGACTCCTATTAAGAAAATCATGACTAACAAGTGTGCATTCTGTTAGATTCCCACCACCACCCTTCTAAAGATAGTGCTATGTTGGTGCCCCCAGCATGTCTGCAGACTCTCTTCTCTTGATCAAGCCTGATCTGGCCACCTCTGTTTGTTCCGTTCTTGCCCCTCCTCCCCCCTCTAGAACGGCACTGCCTCAGTCATTTCTCTCTCCTGTATCTTCCACCTCTCTACCTCTATTGGTCCTTTTCCCACAGCCAATAAACAAATCTCTCAGCTCAAAAACAAAACTCTCCATTCCTCCTTCTCCTTCCTTTCTCATCCAAGCTCCTCACCCGGCCTCCCTTCTCCCTCATCCCTTGTACTCTTCCAGTTACCCTCACCACTCTTCTGAAACTGCTCTGGTTAAGGTCACCATAAGCTAGGGATGAAAATCCGATGGTAAATGTTTTGTCCTTGTCATATCTGACCTTTTGTGGCCTTTTGGTCATTGTTAACCACTGCCTCCTTTCCAACAATTGCTGCTTTCCAGGTTTCTAAAATCCAAGGTTCTCGGCCTCTCTGCCTAGCCGTGTTGTGTGTCTTTCCTCACTGCTAACCCCTTCTGCTGTCTAACA